TGATGCTGGGTATAAACTCACCCTTACCCTGGCCTTCCCGCATCACGCTAGGCAGGGTGGTTTCTTTGGGCTGATGAAAAACTGATACAAAATACCCATTAAGCAGGTTGGCTTTTTCCTGGGTGTCAGTTGTCAGTTGTACCATTTGGTTTAGCAGGGGTCCAGTGTTACCCTTGCTTTTTTCCGACTCCCCACATATCTGAAAGAGGACTTTTTATTGTCCTTGATATGTGTAGCCAGTTGGAGTTCAGTTGCAGCCTTGGCTTTCCTGGTCACTGCCTACAGGTATGGACCGGTGCAGCATATTCCTCCTTAGTGGTGATGCCTGTCTTCCATCCTTTATAAGCCTCTCTTTTTAGACGTAGGACGTCCCTGAGTTCCCTGCTGAGCCAAAGGGGTTCTTGTGCCCTTTTGCTGCCTTTCCTCTGAGATGGGATGGACATCCCTTGTGCTTTCATGATCACTCGTTTAAGGAGCAGCCACTCCTCTTGGACTCCCCTCCCTGTGGAGTCATGGCCCCTTAGGGCTTTGACAACAAAGCTCCTGAGCTTATCAAAGAAAACTTTCCTAAAGTTGAGGACTTCTGCATTGCTGACTGACTTGCCAGCTTTGCGATGGATAGTAAAAATTTTCAGCTCGTGGTCACTCTCACAGCTTTCCTTCAATTCTTAGGTTGCTGACTAGATCATCTCCTTTAGCCAGTACAAGGTTCGGCAGTGCTTTACCTCTTGTTGGTCCATAGACTTCTTGAGTCAGGTACAGCTTGTCCACACTTGTGAGGAAGCTTTTCAGATTTGGCCGAGTGCTCTTCCCATGAGATGTCTGGGTATTTGAAGTATCACATGACAACCATGCACTGACAGCATGCAGCCTCAGCCAGTTCCCTGACAAATTCCTGATCGAGCTCTTGTTCCTGGTTAGGTCTGTAGTAGACTTCTACTGTTGTGTCCCCTGTGCCACGTTCTCCATGTATTTTAATCCAGAGGGTCTTCAGTCGTCCTCCCTGGGTGCCAGTGTCAGCTTGCAGGGATGTGTAGCTTTCCATGACATAGAAAGCTACACCCCCACCCCTTTTTTTCTGCACAATCTCTCCTGTACAGGGTATAACTATCTATACCTGTGGCCCAGTCATAGGTGGAGTCCTGCCAGGTCTCCATTATCTCTATGAGATTGTAGTCATTCTTGTGTAATAGGAGGACCAGTTCCTCCTGTTTGTTCCCCAAGCTCCTGGCATTGATGTACAGACATGTAAACTTCCCATTGGAAGCCCTAGGCTTCCTTGCACTCCCAGAAGGACACCGTTCCAGGGCTGGGGTATGAGTGAATTCCCTCGGGCAGTGGCCATGTGTAAAGGGGTGCATGTGCACCCCCTGAGAGCACCAGTGCACCCCCTGTCAGGCCACGCTCCCTGCTTAGCCAGTGGGCAGGGGGGCAGGTGGGAGCACCAGTGCCACACCCCTGCGAGCGCCAGCAGGGGAGTGGGGCCGCCAGCAAAAGTGTCTGTGCCTCTTCCAGAAGTGGTTGCGAGACCTCTGGAAGTGGCACGGTCGCTTTTTAGTGAGTGAGATCGGTTGTAGTTGACTCCCCCTGGCCAGTGGCATTGGCCACCAGGGGACCGTGCTCCCCTTCCCCGAGAGGCACCAGTCATCCATGACCTTGGGTGCCCTAACCTGTTGTTTTTGTAGTAGTTGCCTAGTGGGCTTGCTTTGGTAATTGTCCATCCATCCCCTGGCGGGCTTATTTTAAAGCCCGGTCGAGCAGGTCAGCCGTTCTGGCTAAGAGCTTTCTCCCCGGTGAAGTGAGGTGGAAGCTGTCTCTTCCCAGCAGACCACTGCCTTTCTCACCAAAGAGCAGATTGTGATGGTGGAAGCCAAAGCCTTCACAATGACACCAATGCCACAGTCTTCAGTTGACCACCTCAATACATCTCTCCCTCCTCAGCCCATGACCCGTAACCCGTACTCCTGTGATTCATTTTTTCCCCTTTGCTCTCATCAATAGCATCCTCACTTTTAGGTTTTAAAAGCAACTGGAAACAAATAAACCCATTCCTGCACTTATTGTGCAATGGTTTTATAGGCACATATAAAAGAAAGACACACATGTATGCACAAGTACACAATGTAAACTAAAATGGAAGCAGCATAGAAGCCCAGAAAAGGTACAATACATTCCATTTTGGCTTTTGCTCTCAAATTTTATAGTGCCAATTTAGTACAAATATAGTTACTCATACCCCAGACTTCCAGGATTGTTGGCATTCCTAGTCTATAAAACAGGGATCTAGGTGGATTGTGAACCCTGAGCCCTGCAATCTAAAACTAATTTAACTGCTGCTCTTGCATTGGAGAAATCGGTGTCCTAACACATTCTAATTCCAGATGGTACTGGAATCCTGCTGGATTCCAGCCATATTTAACCGCAATCCCTCCAATTCTGCTTTCTAAATGGTAAAAGACAGCAGCAACTTCAAGTGCACCAAAAAACCAAATGCAGACTCCATTGCAAACTGGTGCAGCAGCACCTCATAACGATCACCTTGCTGGGGCCACCTGACCCCAGTTGTCTTTCCTGCTTAGTGCAGGGGGGCTGGACGTGATGATCTTGCGAGGTCCCTTCAAGCCCCTTACAATCTATGAATCTATAAACATGCCAGAGACTGCCTGAAGTGCTCAATTCTACCATCAGAACATGTTGCTTTTACCTTTATGGTTAAAAAAATTCTTGACATCCATCTTGGTGAAGGTTCAGTGCAGCCCCTCTGCCCCAAGGGCCTTTCTGCTACAAAAACAGTAGCTCCCCAAACTTGAAAAGTCTATTACATAAATAGAAAAGAAGCAAAAGTGGTTTTTGTCCAAGAAAAAAATCTGGTCCCTGACAATCCCAGGTATATAATCAATGGATGTATCTGGCCAGATCCCTATGTTGGATCTAAGTTTTTGTGGTGTTCATGTGTCAGGCTCCAGAACTGGGGTGCGCTAGGGAGAAGTTTAACCTGTGCTCTGGTCACATCTTGCAGGGCAGTAGAAGTAGATGCGGGTGTTAGAAGATGGGGCTCAGGGCCAGAGATGGGGGCTCAGGGTCAGGGCTGGATACACATGCCAGACCCAGGGTCAGGCTGTAATTCTGTGATGCTCTTGCCTCAGGATATCCTGGCATCTGGAAATGTTTGGTGCTCTCTGTTCCTGAGGCAAACAAGGTTCTTTGGGTGAATGTGGTATCTTTTATCAGACTCAGCACTCTACCTAGACTCCTGGCAGCCTGGGGGGAACGTTTAGTATCCCCGCTTTGCCAAAGATGATGGTGGTAATAATAATATTACCATTTTCAGATCCCCTTTCTGTCTGGGCCCTGGGCCGCCACCCAGTTCACCCATGCCTGTGCCTGGTCCTGATTTGACCAACTAAATGGTCGGACAGAATTGCTCTTTGCAAGCTTTGGGGCACAACCATCCTTCTTCAGGCAGAGGGGAAGGGTGTTGGTACATGAAAGCCTGCGAAGAACAATTTTGCCAGCGATTGAGCTGGTCTCATGAAAGATGCCACATTTCCCCTCAGAGCCTTGTCCGCCTCTGACAACCGCCCACCCCCCGAAACCTGGCGGGTCGCTCTTTCTGAGGGCGCAGCTGGGGACTAAAAACCCCGCAGGTTGCAGCGGCCAGACTCCCCCCACTCCCCGGCCCGGGCTGGGGCCGAG